CTTGGTGGCTTCTCAATGAAAATGATATCATGAAACCTCATAGCTTAGTTCTCCATGCAATGCAGCTGTCATTAATGTGAATTCTTCTAAAATATATGTGAAAAAAAATGCAAGGAAATGTTCACTGGTCATAAGCAAACTATATGGATTAATTTATAAAATTATTTTGGGGGCATGCAACTACTTAAATGGAATTAATATTGTGTCCTTTAGTAAAATTCAACTTATAGAGTATCCCCTGACATCATAGTGATATCTAAATATGTATCTTAAAGTTGTCAGCATTTGATTCACATGATTTTTTCTTCCTCATTGCATTTAAAACTTACAAATTCTAGCTCTTAGTATTAAAATACTTTCCATCATGATTTAAAAATCATATGCATGATCGATGCAAGTATAGCTATGAAAAAAAATAATATTAATGTACATCTCTGCAGAATTTCAGCTTCATTCATACTGACATTTCTACCATTATCCTCTAATTTTACTACTGCATCTATCTAAGTACACCCCTGGGGAAAGGCTTGCTATTAGTTTATGAATATCAATTAATTTCAACCTGTTGCACCATTTTACAGAGGTGATTCAACTACCAATGCTCTCATCTATCTAAACTATCACAGGGTAATGGTGTCAGACCCTTAAAACGTCGATAAATCCATATAATACATTGACAGTTTATTTAACCATCAATAATTGAATTTACAACAATGCAGAGACTTAACTCTTTAGAACACTGATCAACTTGTACCCGAAAATGGGTGTTTCCTTTGAATTTCTCGTACAAATCAGTAAAAGGACCGTTTTAAAATTGTAACGGGTCTATATCTCATCATTGCAATAATTTTCAAACACATGAAACGCATATAATCAATTAATTTGTACTCTCATCACAGATCGAGAAAGTATTGATTTTTTCCTCTGTATCATAGCATCACAGTGGAATATCATTCATACACAATATTGAATATAATTTGAAAGAGGATTTTAAGATAAAGGCACATCTTTTAGAACAATGTCAAATAAACCTACTGTGTAAAAAAAAAACGTGTACTTACTTTCCCAATTCCTCTTTGAGATCGTATATATCGTTAAATTTGGCTGTAGTTGTAGCCATTATTGAATCTGAAAATACACTACCGCGTGAAATCTCGTGTAATCTCGCACTAGAACTGGTGCGTCTAATGAAAGTAAACGACCGTATTACAGACGTAAAATATTACACACACTCCTCTCACTTCGAATTCATGTAACTCTTTGTAACAAAAATGTTTATAAGAATTGTGTTAATGAGTAAGTGAATTAATTGCCTGCATCAATTAAACGACAAATAAATAAATAAATAAATAAATAAATAAATAAATAAATAAATAAATAAATAAATAAATAAATAAATAAATAAATAAATAAATAAATATCTAGGATTTTATTCCAGATTAATTTAATTCTAATTTTCTGTTATGTCTTGTTATTATTAACAACTTCATGTTACATTTCATTTGTTGTAGTATGACAGACAGTGGTGAATGAGTACATTTTACATATATAGGAAATCTTTGAAAAAAAAAACAACCAACCAAACAACCCCCCCCCCCCAAAAAAAAAAAACAGAAACAAAAAACTTTCCATACAAGTCAGTATATTTTAAATGTTAATGAAGTCACAGTTGATTTATATAAATCTAAATTATACTAATAACTACACATCAATACATTTTTAGTATACACGTTAATATTTTCCATGAGAGGTTTATACGTCAAAATTTGTATTTAAAAAAACAATTAAGAGACGAGAAGATCCATTTTGAGCGCTTAATTAACTTTGTTTAATTTAGATCGACGGAGATGGGAAAATTGCATATAAGTCATAAAATTTTAACAATATTTATTTGGGAAATGGACATTTCTCAAGTATATTTGCACTTTATTCTATTAAATTTCACAGAAATTTAATTTCAATTTTTTTTAAATTTCATCCCGTTGAGGAAAACTAATCTGATTAGTAAACGGGTAAATGGCAAATGGAAAAGATCTATATTAATTAAGGTATGGTTATAAAATGTATGTAATATTTATTAAGATTCACAGCGTATTATAGCGAAGAGAAAGTCCGTAGCATCGGTTTCAAAAGGGTGCAAACCTACTACCCCCACCCCCAATCTTACTTGAGCAACAAAATACAATTTTTAAAAAGGAGAAGATAATTAAACAGTTCAAAACTTGTGTGGGTGGGGGACAACTTTCCAAAAATAATTTGATAAGGAAAAAAGTTTAAATCCATTGGTGTCGGAAGCAAATTGAAAGTGGGGTGGCTGATTGAAAATGGGAGGGGGGCTAAACAAACGAAAAGGTAAACCCCAATTTTCAATGCCTATATTATATCTATCTTTGAAAAAAAAGAGGAGGGGAGGGGCTAACCCCCTCCCCACTCCGGTTTCGACGCCTATGAAACCAGTGTCTTCTAGCTATTCCCACTTTTTAAAAATCTCAATTCCACCTATTCCCACTTGCATATAACAATAGATGTTTAGATTTACCTGCATTTTGTACATTTTAAGACAGAAAATAATGAATACATCCATGAGAAAATATAATTTATTTTGGATTTTTGAAATAATTAAAAGATCTTACAAGAAAAAGCAACTTGATACCTAAATTTAAGAACATAGTAAATTATTTGTTTACACAAAATTAAAACTTTTTTTTTAATTGCAGAACATGAAATTTTTTTTACCTTTTTTTCCTCTTATCCATAAACGGTTAACAATATTCTGAAATGTTCTGGGAAAAAGATTTTCCCACCTACCTATCGACCCAATAATTTTACCCTGAGTCGGGAGAGGGCAAGCAAAAATTCTTTTAAAGATGACTTAATTGATAAAGAAATGCAAAATGAACAATCCAATAAGTATTTTAATACATTTTGCTACATTGTATATTACAATGTACATCGACGTAAAATATAAATATGTCAAAATAAAATCAGATTTGCTTTTATAATACAAATCTTTCAGCTGTGCGTTGGAAATGATAAATGCTCGCACATCATTTCTCTATTATTTAAATCTGCACATGTTAACAAATTGTGTAATTAGATACCTATGGCCAGATCGAAGATGCTTATTATGATGACTTGCAAATTATTGTGTCAATGTCCTTTGACTAAAGAAAACAAGAGGCCTATGAACCATAATGCTCACCCGGGTAACTTTTGTCCTGCTTTAATTTATTTTCAGATACTTAAAAGTTTTCAGCTAGATTTCAAGAAAATTTTGACGGCATTTGGTGGCCCAAGGGACCATGACTTAACCAAATCCAATCCACGCAACATGCAGATGCTTCGCAATGAGTTAGACTGTTTTAGTTCTGCTGTTCTGGAGAAGATTATTTTCCTTTTCGCAAGACGGACTATTAAATCCCGGTCTGATCAGTCGAATTACAGTCTTAAAGAGAAAGATAACAAATGCTTTCCTGTATATATCTCAATGTTGACTTTTATTCCCTTGGCATAAATTATTTTGAAAGAGCTCAAGGACCTTGTATTGCTCACTCGACTTTAATGCAACCCTGTAACGGATCTACAAAATGGTAATAAAATATTATAATATGAAGCATAAAACTATAAGATGAATATTTAAAAGCTTGCTTGTCTGCTGAATGAAACATGCAGATAAAGAAAAGCACTCAAACTCAAACGTCCATGAATACAATGCAAATTCGGAGCAAGCAAACCTGGGCCTCTAAATCATCAGAGGTGGGATTAGGTGGAGGAGTGAGCATCCCCTGTCGATAAACGAAACGGTAGAAATCTTTGTTTTATCAACCTGTTTGTCAAAAGCTTACCCTTCGTATGCAGGTGATACATGGGTAAGGGGTGATGACATTTAAAAAAATGAAGTCATAACGTTTTTAGTTAGATTACCGTAAGGATTAACGTATGTTCTAGTCAAATATCCAAATATGAAGCAGATGTATCAGAAACTATTGTATACCAGTATTTTATTTCAAGTTTTCCGGGATATATCGAGTCGGATTTTTAAAAAAAAAATTTTTGCAAGTGACCATTGACACGGTCAGTAAATTTTCAATTTCAATTTTTATTGAGAAAAGCAATGAAAAGTGCAGCACTTTGATGCTTTTCAGTTAAGAAAAATTTTGTGACTTCAATTTTTTTTTAAAGTTCCTTCAAGTTTTTATTCACATCTGATTTACACCTCTTCTTGAATATATAATATATTGTTGTAAAGTACACCTTCAGATTCTCATTCACTGCTGTTAAAAGAATTTTCACCATGAGATAATTATTCAAAAGCTTATTGTCTGCAAAAGCTTTCTTGTATACTAAATAAAATATGGAGAAAGTATTTCATTATTTATAATAACCGAGTTCATTATAATGAATCCATAATATTTATTCTTCTAAAATACTCTCTGCTTTTTCGGTATGTTGAAGACAAACTTGATTATGAGTAATAGCCCTTTTTTTCTAAAATTATGAATTTATAACCCCCTGGGTCAGGGACTCTGGTATTCCAGTAGATTTCTATTAATCACATAGTGAAAATATATTTACTGTTGCTGTTCTTGGTAAAATTCTGTTCCTCTATATACATGTACATTGTAAATTATTGGTCTCATATTGTGATCCTGAACAAAGAATTCACACTTCTTAAGGATATTAGTCTACTACATGTAATGACTAACCAGGGCCCTATTGACATTTTTTCTATATATTTCTATATATTCATAATCTTTTTTTTAGCCTTATGTGTGTTAAGATAACTCGAAAAGAAATATTGCATAGTTTATTGTATATACATAAATACACATACTTCTTTAAAAATGTAGTGTTTAACATTATTTTTAACAAGAGCTATAGAAAATACACAATCAATAAATAATATAATCAGTTTTTCTGATATCTTAACTTTTGTCAATGTCAAAATTATTTATCAAAATTTACTTAAGTAATATAACATTCCATAAAAATCGTAGGTCACCTGATATACCTTGTGCATAGTGCATGTATAATCCTATTAATCAATACAAATCAGAAAGCTGCTGCCTTGATATGAATTATTTATAATGCTTCTAAATGTTTGTTTTAATCAGTTGCATCATGACATGAAGCTGTCAGGAAAACCCCTTGGTTAAATAAAAAAGCTTTCTATATTCTTGTTTGTTTTCAGGGACCTATGTTAGTATATAGGTCCCTGTTTGCTTCAATGAAAATTGTACATTTTTCATGAAATACTGATATTTTCAGTCCTGTTTTATGCATATCTTTATATACAACCTTTAAATAATAGAAATTCATATACATTTACATGTTTGTTTTTATGTATTGGTCTGTACTTGATAGAAACAAGATATATGTTGCAAATACATATTTTAAAACTATTGAACCTTTAAACAAAGTACTCTAATATTCTTCATACTGTGCATAAATCTAGTATTATGTTTACACAACACTCTCGTCTATAAAGCATACACGATTCATCCAATTAATCTGTACACAATGTTCTTATAATATTGGGAAGACATGTTGAATCATCATTAACAGACAAAAACTGGAACACACAGAGAAAAATATTCCATACAGTTAATCAAACAGCACCAGTTACACCTACATACTAACACATTAGGCACAGTTTACTTAGCTGCTATATGTTTGTTCATTTGATTCCAATTTTGATGCTTGGATCAGGTACACTGTACTCCTGCTAACTGTTTAACAAAACACATGAACTTTAAACTTTGATTGGTTTTAAAAAGCTAATTTTTTAAGTTCTGAAAGTTCAGAAGATTCATTTTGACAGAATCAAATGCTGAACAAATTCCAGGAAAGTTCCATTCTCCATCTGATCTTCGGGCAGTTTTGTGGCAAGAGAACCCTAGAAAAAATGCAGCTTCTTTGAAATCTAAACCACAATATCTATGCTGTTTATAAAATGTCTTAAAAGGAACAAATTGTTGATTCAACTTTTTAAAAATTGATGATTGATATGATATTCACGATTTAGGGCAGAAAAACATTCTCATAAAATGGGATAGGTTATTACTCATGTACTTAAGAAAAATGAGTGTTAATTAGTTTTATATCATTTACATCTTTCTTTGCCTAGTTTATCAATTGTGTCTTAGTGTTATTAACAAATTATTAATACATGTAAGTATCCAAGTACATGTAAGAGTTTCATTGGATTGACCTTTAAATTGTATAGTATGTGTTAATGCATAGAATTGCCTTCAGTGCAACCAATTATGTTGTAATCAGCATTTTACCAGTACACATTCAATGAGACATCCTTAATTAAAACATATTTTATATAGGTATATGCAATACATTTATGTCCTTAGCAACATGACTATCTTGAAATCAGATTTGGAGCTTGACCTTGACCTCAGGCAAGATACTTACTGAATTCAGGCAATATGTGTTAATAATCGTAATACTTTGATAATGTGATTAACTTTGAATTCGGGCAGTATGTCATTATGATCATACATGTACTATTTTGGTACTACTTTGGTAATAAGATTAACATTGATTTCAGCCACACATTTACACCTACATGCTGTACATTCTTTGGTACTGAGACTTACCTTCAATTTGTCTAAGTACGTTATGGTTGGCTGCCAGCATTGTCTGAACTTCAGCCAATCAGGGGCACCTCTATAAAAATCTGTCACTGTTTTCTTTAAGGAAAATATAGCATTGTTCAAATGATTTTATCTCCAGTAGAGGAAACAGTAAGAGGGGTGATCAAAAAGTTCGCAAACTAATTGAATAAGTTCCAAAAATGAAATAATATAGGGTTTCAGTGTTCAAAATTTTCAAAGTAGTCCTCTCCGATTTTAATGCACATCTACAACCGTTCTGCCCATGTGCGTATCACATGATATAGGCAGTCATGGAACATGCTCCAAAGCGTTCTGTCACAGAAGCTTAAAGATTTTTCAGACTCTTGTATTTCCTACCATGCAAGTTATTTTTTACAACAAACATAGGTAATCAAAGATTACAAAGCTCACCTCGATGAATGTTCTCAATTTAGGTAATGCAAATTTCACATCATTTTTCTTAACAGTTAGTATTTATTCTGACAACAATATTCAAGCAAGTGCTGTTTAAATAGGTCTTAAAATTCATTGGGGATTGACCTGTTCCAAAAAAATTAACCTCATCACTCGTTTGGAAAATGCGGGTCAGATCCAACATCCGAAGCAAGTTTCCATTGTCCATCCTTAAATGCATCATCCATGCAAGTTTGGTCCGGGTAGGGCTTATAGTTACTTGGGAATAACCTAGTCACTAATCTGGTTAATGTAGGTCAGATCAAGCATCCGAAGCAAGTCTGGAAGTGTCCATCCCTTGATGCATCATCCATGCAAGTTTGGTCCAGGTAGGGCTTATAGTTACTTGGGAATGGACCTGTTCCAAAAACTTTAACCTGGTCACTCAACTGGAAAATGTAGGTCACATCCAGCATCTGAAGCAAGTCTGGTAGTGTCCATCCCTAGATGCATCATCCATGCAAGTTTGGTCCAGGTAGGCTTATAGTTACTTGGGAATGGACCTGCTCCTGAAACTTTAACCGGGACACTGACGCCAGGGGTATAGCATAAGCTCATCTCGACTTTGTCGATGTGAGCTAAAAACCGTCCATTTGTCAGAAATAGCCAAATCTTGGCAATAGTATGGGTGGATAATGATATCTTTTCCAGAATGAGCATGGTAACCATCAAAACCCAAGTCCTCTGTCTTCGGAGCGTTGTTTTTTTTCTATGTGGATAAATTACGGGTGCCTTTTTTTTTTACATATCTGATATGTTTAAAGTCTGAAGTAAATGATATTTTAGGGATTTTATTATAATGTTATTGTAAAGATATCCAACTATTTTCCAAATTATAAGTTGGCGATCTTTCATATCAAATTGCTAAACAAAGGACACATCTCTTCCCCAGCTTGGTTTCACTGGGCGAAAGAACAAACATCATTATTTTTTAACATCTCCCTTGCTGCACTTAAACAATCAATCCAATTAACAACTAAACTTCTGGAAAGTCTTTTGTCTTCATAAACCTCGTACAAATTATTACAAGATTCTGCAAAGGAATTTCCAAGATATACTGTATGTTTATCTTTAATTTACAGCTGTTTGGTTTTCGAATTCAATTGAGTCAACCATTTTTTGTCCCAAGTGACCTACATATTGATGTTATTTTCATATTGTGACGTCACAAACATGGGGCAAAACGTTTCATTACAAATGCTATTTATGGACCATGTATATGACTCTATGTGTGCAAAATTTCATTCTGATCTGAACTGTGGTTTTGTAAATTTAGAGATAGTTAAGCGAACTTTTTGATCACCCCTTGAAAATATGAATGTATGAACTAAATTTAATGAACCATAATTCTTCACTGAACATTTAGTTTACAAATATTTACTAATAAAACACAAAAAATTACCATTTCACTAAGAAGTTCCTCCGTGACAGAGAGATTCTTCTGCAGGGAGAATTTGACAATCATAGGTATACCATAATCTGAGGGCTGCTCCTACATAAAGAAATCTTCATTTAAATCAAGAGAATTCAATTTAAATACCAACAGTAAGTAGTCATTTTCTTTTATTTAAATGCTTACATCCAGAGGTGGCATGACCATGTACATTCTGCAAGCAGATTCCTTCTTTGTTCTCTGTCTGTTATATGGAGCTGAAAATAATATAATAAACTTCTTTGTTATCATGCCAAATAAATTACATTACCTGCCTAGTAGATACAATATTTGCAGTAAGATTATATAATTTCTCAAATAAAGTGTCAAAGAAAAAACAGTAAGATTTTTGTTTTCTCAAATTCCGAGGATTATGATTTTTATAACATTTTTACCTCTTATGCATGTACTGTGTATTTTTTTTTTTCAAGTAAGATTCATCAGACATTCATCAGTGTGGTTACCTATGATGACTCCTACACAAGGGAAGTAATTAGATCCTGATCCTTTCATACAGAGCTGATACGACATCTGACTGTCTATGTCCTTCACTGAGGGCTGAGCTTCCGAGAAAGGATGACTGTGGTACCACCCCACCAAAATCAGACCCAGCTCATTCATAGATTGGCGGATCTGTACAATCAGAGGGTTAATAAACTCAAAATTCTTATCATA